CAGCTCCTGCAGATGCCCATTCCCCAGCGGGGCTACCGCACCCAAGACCGCAGCTCTGCCTGCAAGTCAGGCCACCGCCCGAGGGGTTTGCTGAGAGCTGGTCAGATGGTCAGGAAGGAAACCCACACTTACTGAGCTCCCCTAGAGATCACTATGGGAACTGCAGGACAGAGGCAAGTGGGGGTCCTGTGACTTATAAGTGCATTTGGTCTTCTCCCACGACGGGCTCACAGCCGCACACGCGGCATTTCCTAAGTGACGAGAGCACTGAGAGCACCGGGAGCACCTCTTGCTGCAGGACTTGGCCTCTTACCCTCAGTTCCAGAAGCCGACTGGGAGCCAGAAAGGTGAAATGGGGTCGTCACTCATAGCAAAGCCCTTTCAACCTCACCGCGCTGAGGTTAACGGGGGACTTCGGGAAATCCCCTAAGGATGGGCTGGTTCATTAGAGGGCTGGAGCCTCCCTAAAAAAACAAAAGGAAGGGACTCCGCTTCCAGATTGGGGACCAGAAGCGGCCCCGTGCCAGCCCCCAGCCCCACACGCCAACTGAAGCCATGCGTGGGGGCCCGTCCAGGCCGGTCCTGTATCTCCCCACCCGCTGTGCCTGCCCTTTAATATAATAAGCCAGGGGTCTGGTAACTGAACTGGCTTCCCGAGTCCCGTGAGCTGCTCTAGCAAATGAATCAAAGCTGAGGGGATCACGGGAAGCTCCGACCGACAGCCAGTGGGTCAGAAGCACGAGTGACCACCTGGACTGGCACCTGAGGTGGGGAGCAGTCTTGGGAGACGGAGCCCTTTACTGTGGGGTCTGGCGCTATCTCCAGGTGCTGGTGTCAGAACTGAGTCAAGTGTGGACAACTGGACGACTGCTTGGTGGGGTTGCAAATAAGCCTGAACCGGAGAAGCTGCTACCACTGCTGAGCGCGGCTGAGGGTAAGGTATCACTCAGGGACCCCATGTGCATTGCTCACCTGGAGAACACATGGCCAGGATTTTACCGAATGTCTAGAATATTCTTAAGATGTGTGACAAAGTGTACACGCCACATGGAATAAGAGTCACTGGATGTAGGGGACCCTGAGGAGCCAGCATGGGTGCTGCCTGGGAAGGGGAAACAAAGGATGACGTCACACAAGAGCCCCAAAATCAAAACTCAAAGGGCAGCCCGGCAGGTGTGGCTCAGGGGTTGAGCATCGACCTGTGAACCAGGAGGTCACAGTTGGATTCCTGGTCAGGCACATGCTGGGTTATGGGCTTGATCCCCAATGTGGGGCGTGCAGGAGGCACCGATCAATGATTCTCTCATCATTGATGTTTCTCTCTCGCTCCCTTCCTCTCTCTGAAATCAATAAACATATAATAATTTTTTTTTAAATATTTTTTTAAATATATTTATTGATTTTTCACAGAGAGGAAGGGAGAGGGATAGAGAGCTAGAAACATCGATGAGAGAGA